TCTGCAGAGCCTGCGAGACGGAACTCTTCCATCAGACTTTTAGTTGAGGCAGCAGGCATCCCCCCCCCTAGATTGGGCCTCCCCCTCAGTGGGTCAGATCTGTATTATCATCTAGGCAGGGGTCATTTTGTAGAAAAAGAGGTGCAGGAGCTCATTAGCATAACTCATTAGCATAACTCATTTGCATATGCCACACCCCCTGACATCACCGGAAGTGTGTCAGAAGGCAACACCCACCGCTCAGGCTCCACTGGACTGTTTTGGATTGCTAGCTGTTGGGGGGGGACATGCAGATCTGTCCTCGCAGAGGAGGGAGAGCTTGTACCTGAATAAAACTTGGTCTTAAAGGTGCCACTGGACTGTTTTGGATTGCTATCTATGGGGGCGCTCTGCAACTTACCTGGCTGCTTCTTGCTCTGACTGAGGGCTGCTGGGAGCAGGAGGTGGGGCTTGTTGCATGTGCCCGCCCCTTGGGCTCTTTACTGTCTGAGCTCCGCTCCTGTGCGCTCCTGCAGGAAATGACCCCTGCATCTAGGAACCCAAAGTCGAATCAGACCTCAGCTATGGAGGCTTTGATTGGAAGTATAGGGCCCCGGTCACACTGGGGGGGGAAAGGTGCGGCTGAAGTGCAGCTTTCTTGAGCCGCATCAAAAGAGAAACGCGGCGGCGGGATCAGACAGATCCCCCAAGCCACTGTGCAGTTGCTCCCCGGCACGATCAGATGCCGGAGGGGGGAAGCCACAGATCGGTGAGCGAGGCGAGCCCACTGAGCATGCACGCACATGCGCAGTTCTACAGGGCCTCCGTATGCTGCAGGGAGACGGGCATGTCGGCGATCAGACGCCGGCCCGTGCTGCGCATCAACAGGTCGGTAGTACTCTTTTGGTGCTACCTTGTTGCGGCGGGTTTTCGGCTGGAAGGGACGGATCGGGGACGGGTGCGCGCCGCTTCCCAGATGTTGCGGTATGATCGCACCCGCTTGACGCGCCCCCGTTATGTCCCTCCCGCGGGGCAAATGCTCCCATGTGACCGGGGCCTAGGAGTGCTATTGTATTTTACTTGAGGTTTTTTAACTGTTTTTGATTGTTTGTAAATTGTACTTGACGGAGTGAGCTCCCGTCTCTGGCCCCAGCTCCTGTCAACCTAGCAGTTCGAAAGCAAGAAACTGCAAGTACCGCTTTGGTGGGAAGGTAACGTTCTGTACGCCTCAGCGTCTAGTCATGCCGGCCACATGACCACGGGAACGTCTTCGGACAGTGCTGGCTCTTCGGCTTGGAAACGGAGATGAGCACCGTAACCCTAGAGTCGGATCCAACTGGCTTTTGAGCAAGGGAACCTTTACCTTTTATATTGTGTTTGATGGAACCCACCCTGAGCCTGCTATGCAGGGAGGGCAGGATACAAATCTAATTAATTAAATAAATAAATAGCCAGTGAGCCTCTCCACCGGGTGAGTCCCCCATTGGCCACTCTAGAGCAAGCTGGGGCATTTAAAAAGCCAGCTGATCTGTCTCGTGTCTCGCGCACCTGTCGGCTGAGCCCAGACTGAGCCTTGCCAGACAAGAGCGGCAGATTCGCCAGACGCCCAGAAACAGAAGCAGACTGGTTGGGTGGGTGTTTGGTTTCTGCTGGGAGAGTTGCCAGAGAAGCCCAGGGGCAAGGCCTCTTTCTTGGCCCTGTTCTTAGAGGTGCAACTCAGGATGATAGACAAGATTTGTCTGGGACTCCTCCCAGTCTGGGGTCGACCCCTCCAGCCCTGCGCTTACCCCAGGGGACTGCAAGCCCTACCGAAGACGGCCTGTGCCAGCAAACCCCAAGGCTGGGGAAGGCGTCTGTCAGGTCCCAGCAGGACATGGCCTCGGCAGTCAACTCAGCAGTCAGGCAGCTGGAAAGAGCCCAGTCAGCTTTCAGGGGCACACTCAGAGGCAGAAGTGGGAGCAACAGTGGGAGTGGGGGGGCAACAGTGGGAGGGCTTCTAGTGTCCTGGCCCCACTGCTGGACCTCCTGAGGGCCCCTGGTCTTTTTGGCCACTGTGTGACACAGAGAGTTGGACTGGATGGGCCATTGGCCTGATCCAGCATTGGCTTCTCTTATGTTCTTATACATAGGAACTCTCGGTCTGGGGCAAGGGATGCTCTGTCTTTTTGGTGCTTGGGGGGGCAATAGTGGGAGGACTTCTAGTGTCCTGGCCCCACTGCTGGACCTCCTGATGGCCCCTGGTCATTTTGGCCACTGTGTGACACAGAGTGTTGGACTGGATGGGCCACTGGCCTGATCCAACAGTGGCTTCTCATATGTTCTTAAAGCTGGGGCAAGTGATGCTCTGTAGTCTTGGTGCTGAGGGGGCAAGAGTGGGAGGGCTTCTAGTGTCCTGGCCCCACTGCTGGACCTCCTGATGACACCTGGTCTTTTTGGCCACTGTGTGACAGAGTGTTGGACTGGATGGGCCACTGGCCTGATCCAACATTGGCTTTTCTTATGTTCTTATGTCAGGGGCAGTGATGCTCTGTCTTCTTGGTGCTTGGGGGGGGGGGAGAGTGGGAGGGCTTCTAGTGTTCTGGCCCCGCTGGTGGACCTCCTGATGGCACCAGGTATTTTTGGCCACTTTGTGATGGAGTGATGGACTGGATGGGCCATTGGCCTGATCCAACATTGGCTTCTCTTATGCCCTTATGTTCTTAAGCCAATCCGACAGAATTCCTACCAGAGGACAGCAATGAACATGGTGAGGGGTCTGGAGACCAAGTCCTCTGAGGAGAGGTTGAAGGAGCTGGGTACGTTTAGCCTGGAGAGGAGACAACTGAGAGGGTATAGGATCACCACCTTCAAGTACCTGAAGGGCTGTCCTAGAGAGGATGGGGCAGAGTTGTTTTCTGTTGCCCCAGAAGGCTGGACCAGAACCAACAGGTTGAAATCATGTTGAAAGAGTTGTCAACTAAACACAAGGAAGAACTTCCTGACAGAGCGGGTCCTCAGTGGAACAGGCTTCCTCGGGAGGTGGTGGACCCTCCTTCTTTGGAGGTTTTCAAACAGAGGCTAGAGGGCCACCTGACAGCCGTGCTGGTTCTGAGAACTAGGCAGACCATGAGAGGGAGGGCAGGAAGGGCTGCCTCAGTGCTTAGTTCTTGTGGCCCTTTTTTATATGCCCAGGGAAATGCCAATTGCCACTGTCGGGGTCAGGAAGCGATCCTGGGGTGTTTTTGTCATCTCCTGGGCGTCACTGTGAGTGTGGAGAGGGAGGTATTGGTGGATTTCCTGCATTGTGCAGGGGGTTAGACTAGATGACCCTTGAAGGTCCTTTGCAACTCTATGATTCTATGATTCAGAGATAACCCTGGCACTGAGATGCAGGGGAGCGGGGGGACCAGGCAGCACTGACCTTCATAGAGGGGGTTGGGGTGGCAGCCAGCTCTTTAAAGATGTTCAGGGGGAAGAACCAGTGAGAGGAGGAGGAGGAGGAGTTGGATTTGTACCCCGCCCTTCACGCAGAGTCTCAGAGCAGCTTACCATCTCCTTCCCTTCCTCTCCCCACAACAGACACCCTGTGAGGTAGGCGGGACTAAGAGAGCTCTGAGCGAACTGC